CTCCAGGAAGCTTTATCATAACAGACAGGAAGCACTTGGTGACTCTCAGGAAGTAGCCTACAAGGGCTTGTGGCTGTGGGTTTCTTAGGGAACTTCCCTTACGTCTCTCCTTCAGAGACTGGCTTAGGAAGTTTTGATACACAGAGCCACTGGGCTGAGGACTCTTCGATACTGAGACAGTAGAGCTAACGAGCAAGGACCATCCTTCCCTTCTTGTAGCCATGGAGCGACAAGGGAGCAACGAAGCTTGTGCAGGAGGATAGCAGGAAGGTGAGGTTTGTCCATTTGCTTACAAGATGATACTCTACAAGATTCGGGGAGGTTCCAGGAAGTGTAGAGACTGAAGCAGAGAGAGTAGTTTCTACGTTCACAGGAATGACTGTCTCCATCAGAAGAAAGGTTTGTTTAGGAGGAGAAAGGTCATCCTCTGTAAGACTGAAATGCTTTGGCAGGTTTCAGCATCATGGACTGTGGGAACTTTAGTCTTGTGGTTTCCTTTCATTAAAACATTCTATGACCATAGGATTTGAAGCTGTGGGTGGGGGATAGGGGTTGGAGGTGGCAGCAGCAAGATTAGCATATGAAAGAAGCTGGCTGGCAGACGACAGGGAGCCCATTCCCCATCTTGCAGGTAGCAAGCAGCACAAAAGCTCTTGAGATACATAGAAAAATGGGTGCCTATAAAAGGTCATGAGCCTTTGTGTGTGTGTTCCTACTCACCTCAGATATGGAACAAACGAAAGACTAAAGTAAAGAAATTGCCTGCCTGATGGTAGTGGTGACACATGCCTTTAACCCCAGCACTCCAGAGGCAGAGACAGGTGGATCTCTGTGATCTCTAGCAGAGGCCAGCCTGGTCTACTGAGCGGGAAGAGAGAGACAGAGACAGACAGAGGATTGCCGAAGCCCTACTTGTTGTTTACTGAAGTTACTTATAGGAATATGGGGGAGAGGTTATTTACAGGAGCAGAAATGACCCAAAGATAGCTGCATCACCAAAAGCCCATCCCCCATGGTGGTAGGGGCTCACAAAGCCGGAAACCTGGAGCTCATTGCTTGACAACTTGAAGAGCATCTCTTCTGGGCAACTCAGTTGGTCTCTGCCCCTTCCAGGCAGCTCAGCTGTTCTACAGGAGCTCAGTTTGTCTACCAGTGTCTGTCAGCAGTCCTTACAGCTTATAGATGCTTAGGGAAGGAGGGGCCCAGTGGATCTGGTATGTTTTAGGGACTTCCTGAAGCCTTGAATTTCTTACTTCTTGAGCTTAACAAGGTCCCCTGCAGGAGGGAATGTTCTGGCTGCTTTTAGAACATCCTGTTTTAAGTGCTCCCCCACCCCAAGTTGGAAGGCTTTGTGTGGGAGGAAATCACTACCTATGAGCTCACAAGCCTGTTCCCAGTCTTAGGAATACCTTACCCTCTCATAATAAATTATCCTTGTTTCTGTTTCTAACCACCTGTCCCTGAAGAGATTCATAGTCCTGAGCACAAGAATCTGAAAATTTTGTCAGGAGCCCTCCAAACTCAGATCTGTTCCTAGAACAAAGGCAAATATTGTGCATTAAAATATATTACATTAAAATATTACCTCCAACATAAGAGTTCCTTTTTTTCCCCTTCTGATTGGAGAAGATATCAAGCATGTGTTGGGAACTAGCTGCTGAGTCACCAGGCCTAATAGGCAGCAGGAAGGCAAGAGGAATCCCACCAAGGCACCCTAACAATAATGAGTTCCTTCTGCCATCACCTGTAGAGAGAGCACAAGCAGAGCTGGGAAAGAAATGGCAGATTTGGAAGAGCTGTTGGCAGAAAAGAAAGGGTGTCACTGAGAGGGTTGCCAAGCAACAGCAGACTCGGAAGTGGAGAGGTTTCTTAGTGGGCCTTACATTGGAGCCCATCCATAACGTTTGTAGAATCATCCTGCGGTTCTCCGTGTTTCTGGGGCATGGCACTGGCAGATGCTCTGGAGACACCTCCACACTGCATTGGGCACTCCTCCCAGACCAGATGGGATTATTCCTTTCCTAAATAGTCCAATGTGTCTCTGCTGCCTACAAAATAAACTGAAGTCCTTTTAGTACGGCACAGAAGGCATTACAAAACTAAAGCTTATTTTTTTATTTTCCAACATTCTGCAAGTAACAATGTTCATTATAGGACATCTGGAAAGCATAAGGGAAGAAGAAATGAAAGGTAAACATTCCCTATAGTCCTAGCACTAAACATTGCTGCAGCAGATGCAGTTCCATTTTCCCCTCTGCGAGTCTGGGATTAAGCCTCCTAGCCTTGCTTAAGGAACCAGGCTGTATCAGGAAGCAACAATAGAACTTCACCAGGGAAAGAAGGCAGGCTGCCTGTGGAGTGTGGAGTTGGAACCTGAGCTCCTGTGTTGACAGCGGATCCCCTTAGAAGAGAAAGTGATTCCCCCCAAGGCCCTTATAATGTAGTTACAGCATTTGATTTAATTTCACCCCCAGCTAACATGTGGCCTTGAACACAGTACAAGATACATCACCTGCTGGCTCTCCTTCATGCCAGTACAAAACACCTTTCGGTTCTGCACTGGTTTTTGTTTGTCCCCAGAGCTAGCCCTGCACCCGCATCTTGAAAGGGTTATTTACCAAGGCCCCACAATACTGGCTCATTCTGTTCTCTCAAAGTGCATCCACTACCCCTCCCCCTTTACTGTCACTGTGCAAATTACACAACAACCATGGGACTGAAGGTGTCTCTCCCGGAGGACAAGGCCATGGTTTAGCCCAACCTGGTGACTTTTCCTTTTTTTTGTAAACTCTGTCCGTGTGTGTGTGTGTGTGTGTGTGTGTGTGTGTGTGTGTGTGTGTGTGTGTTGTGTGTGTGTGTGTGTGTGTGTGTGTCCGTACAAAGAAGCTAGGCATAGCGGTACATGCCTGTCATTCCAGCATTTGGTAGGTGAAGGCAAGAGGACCAGGGATTCAAGGTCATCCTCAGCTACATAGTAGTTCTGTGAGCAGCCTGGGCAACAAGAGGCCTGTCTCCGAAAAAAGGAGAGGAAGAAAGGGGGGAATGTTGGAGAGAAGGAAAGAAAGAGGGGTGAGGAGGGGGAAAGTATAAGTACCTAGATAGGGGTATTAAAAGAAAGAAAGTAGAGAAGCACAAAGTGAAAATGAAAAGTCAATTACAATTGCAAATGATGGCTACCCTGGAGTTCAGGAGGGAAAGAAAGCACTTGGCAGTGAGCCTTGCATCAGCCAAAGTGAGAAGGTCTCTTCTGAAACACACAATTCACAGTCCCTGGCTGGACTTGGGGAGGAAGGGAGAGGATACTTCATTACCCAGCTTTTCTTGGACTCGAGGTTAAGTGGAAATTTCTCCCTGGTGCTTCTGGTACAGAGGATTTTGCATGGCAGGACAAAACCAGTTTCCTACTGCTAGTCAAGGAAATGCAGTAAAGCTTGGCAGTAAAAACAATGTGTTACTGTTCCCTTGGGTCCTCTGAAAGGGCTTGGCCGGAGGTCTCCCCATGGATCCCCTACAAGGCTGGGGAAGACGGCAATGTTGTCAGAAGGTGTTTTACCTTGGAAGTATGGTGTCTGAGCTGGGACCACTGGAGGATGTGGATATTGGCACACCATTTCTCTGCACATAACACTCTGCTTCTGTTACGAGTTTCTTCACATCGTGGCAGCTGGCTTCCCCCATAGGAAGCAACAAAAGAGTCAGGAGGAACTTAAAAGTTACCCTAAGACCTAAGCTTGGAGGTTCCCAGAATCATTTATACCATGCTCTATTAATCAGAGTAGCCATGTACAGACTTGGGACTGTGGCAGAGTGCTCATCTAGCATGCTTAAGACCCTGGGCTCAGTCTTGAACAATGGAAAGCAAACAAGCAAACCAGAAAAAGAACGAGAACACACACACTGCTCTTAGTGGTAATTAGTTGAATGTGGTAACATGTTATAATCCCAGTACTCAGGACACAATCAGAAGTTAGACTCATGGGCTTAACTTCAGTAGTAAGTCCTATGCCTACCTGAGCTACATAGAAAGGCAGGTACAGGCAAATCCAGTTTCAAGTGGGTAGGGGAATAGAGTCAACCTCCTAGTGAGGGGACAAACTGTGCAGGGACAGAGGGAGCCACAGGCTATCTTGTCATCTTCTGCAAGCCTGTTTCTTTTCTCTTTTCTCAGCATAGTCTGTGACAATAATTCACTCATACATACTTGGTTTCAGTTGACAATAGTCATTGAGTAGACTGAAACTCAGTAGATTTTAATATGGTGGTTAGATCAAGGGTAAATCTAGACTTTTCTACTTACTAGTGCCTTAACCTTGGAAATTAGTTAATGTCACTATGACAGTTTCTTCATCTTCAATGGGAGAAAATCATAGTACCTACTTCATAAATATGTTTGGGCAAACAAAATAAGTCAATACATGTCAATAATATCAATACATCATACATGAGCACAGTAATTACTCCAAAGTATTCATTTCTGTAATCACCACTAGCCCCACTGTAATCATTATATACAAGGCACTATGATTTGCAAACAGAATGCAAAGCATGTGTGCAAAGGAATTTTCTGAAAACAGACAAAACCTCTGTTGTCTGTGCCTGTCTGATGTGATCTCACAGGTTTAAAAAGGAAGACAGAGGTAGACCCATAGCAAGCCATCTCAGTTCCTAGTGCTTGATCTAGTATACATGTCCTTGATCACCGTCCCCTTACAGCAGGCAGGTCAGCCTTGTGCCCAGGTTCACGCAGTTTGTAACTGGCAGAGCTAGGGTTTGAACCCAAGTACTTCATCACTGATTGGCCTACCAAAGGTTAAAAGGGAGTCTTTGGAGGGTTTTGTTGTTGCTGTTGTTGTCCTTCTTCTTCCTTCCCTTTTCCCCTAAGCCCCCACCCTGCCATCCTTTTTCTTTTTGAAACAAGATCTCTAGCTCAGGTTGTCCTCAGACTTTGCTATGTGGCCATGGGTGACCTTGAACTTCTGACTCTCCAGCCTCTAACTCCTGAAGGCTAGATTACAAGTGTCTGACCAGTTTGTGTGGTTCTCAGAAAGAACTCAGGGTTTTTTTTTCCATGCTAAGCATGCCGTGTTCCAACTAAGTTACATCCCTAGCCTTACAGGCATTCTTTGTGAACTTTTATTATGTATGGAAACTGGTCACAAGGTGCTGAAGAATGTGGGCATCATACTTGGATTACAAGGTACTTTCTTCCAGGAGGTGTTGCTAGATCTTCTTATACATGAAAAACCTGGCTTCAGAGAAGTGGTTTTCCTGCCCTAAAAATGAGGATTCATAACTCCAGGTCTACCCTGCTCTCTATGCTGGGTTACTCTACTAAAGCAAGCCTGTTTGTAAAGCTTATTAACGAGATGATAAAGACTCAGTAATTAGCAGAATACACACAGCAGAGAGACCACAAGGATGAGGGGGAACTAGGTTATACACCAAGGGGCCAATGACAGTATCCATGCCACCATTCACCAAAGACCAAGGTCAGGAAGAATGCTCTAGATAAAGACTTGTGGAAGCATGTCTGTGGCAGAATAAAGATGGTGTGACCTGGGAAGGGCTTGTCCCTTCTGAGGGTAGCACAGTGTCATGTAGCCACAGGGTGTGTGGGAAAATGCGTGGGTAGTTGAGCTAGCAGAAGCAGAAACATGAGAAAGGAGACAACAGAGAACTCTGGGGTCAGGCCTTTAATTAAGGATGTCATCACCTGAGATGGGAGCAGAGAGTAGGAACAGGTCAGTTGCATAGCTGCTCTTCCTAGAACACCAAAGCACATACTTGGGTTCTTCAGAGAGTCAGACCAACAGGTCATATGACAGGAGGTGGATGAGTTAGAGAGGGACTGTAGGGTTGGGCCCAGACATCCCATGACCTGCTGGCTGGCAGCCAGTTATGTCATTCAGTTCATAGGTCTGAATCCAGTCTGAGACCAAAGTCTGGGGCTAGGGGAGTCTGTGAGGAGAGGTTGCCCATGGGAGAGACTTCATCCTTCTACCTTTTAGTTCTATTCAGGTCCTCAAAGGGTTGAATGATCTTGTCCACATCTTCTTTACTCATGGTGATTGATAAAGAATACACCCACATAGCCAGTCAGTGGTGGTACACACCTTTAATCCCAGCACTTGGGAGGCAGAGGCAAGAGATTCTTTGTGAGTTTGAGGCCAGCCTGATGTACAGAGTAAGTGCCAGGACAGCCAGGGCAGAGAAACCCTGTCTCAAAGAGAGAGAGAGAGAGAGAGAGAGAGAGAGAGAGAGAGAGAGAGAGAGAGAGAGAGAGAGAGAGAGAAAAGAAGAAAGAGAAAAGAAAAAAGAATGCATACACAGACAGAGGGAGGGAAGGAGGGAGGGAGGGAAGGAAGGAGGGAGGGAAGAAGGGAGGGAGGAAAGGAGGGAGGGAGGGAGAAATAGGCAAACAACGAGAGACATAACAGAGATAGATAAGACAAACAGAGAGAGAGGCCTTTGAGGGAGGGCCATGGGCTGTCTTTTTCATTTTTTAAAGGATTTTTAAAATTACACTTTATTTATTTCATATATGTGGGAGTACATGTGCCGTGGTACACATTTGGAGGTCGGAGAACAACTCTGCAGAGTTGATTTTCCCCTTCTACTTCATCACATGGAACCCAGGGATCTAACGCACACTGTCAGGCTTGGCCACAAAGCAATCACCTCTACCCACTGAGTCATCTTGACTGCCCTCTTGATCATTTTTTATAGTTTCTGAGAAATTACTGCATAGGTCTTGGTGACAACATTATATTGTTCTTGTGCCAATAGAAAATTCTGTTTTCTTTGGACTATTTTTGTTTATTCTTGCTTTTCTTTTTCTTTACAGGGGAAAAATGAGTGCAGTCCCCTATTACCACAAATTATGCAGTTGAGTTTCCTGGATGTGAGGAAATCTCAGGGCCAGCACATCAGACTGCAAGAGACAGGCCTTACCCTGGGAACGCCATCTTCTTGACCTTGCCATTGCCCTGGCAAGTGAACATCACTGATTAGTTTGTAACACAGGGCCTGGCAAGATCAAGGCCTTCCTTGACCTTGCAACCTTCTTGCCTCAGTCTCCTCACACCTGGCTTTAGGATGTCAATTTCTTCAAGTATATTAAATATGACAATGAAACATATTTACTTTTGAAATATTGTCTCCATTTGTGTATGTTTGGTATGAAGTGAACTCAGTTGTTAATTACAAAACTAAGAAAATGTTAAAATATAGAATCCATACATATGTCAGAAACAGCCAACCACAATCAAACCAAACCAAGCATACCATAATTCCACTGGCACTTTTGTTTCTTCAGTTCTAGGGACTGGATCTAGGACTGGATTCCCGTGTGCTTGGCAAGCCCTCTATCACTGAGCTGTATCCATTCCCCCCCCATTCTTTTGAGATGGGGTGTTACTCTGTAACCCAGCAGGCTGTGAACTTGAGCTCTTTCTGCAACTGCCACCCAAAAATCACCCAAGAAGCTGGATTTGCCAGCCTAGTGGTGATGCCTTGCCCTGTTACATTTTGATATAACAGTTCCAGTTTTAGTGGTCCTTACTAGCCATCCATTTGTATGAACAGATGGTTTTTTGCTCCTTTTGCTTTTGGAGCCCTCCATTCATTTTCTCTTTGAAGTACTGTAGTCATCAGTATCCTAGTGTTGAAAATCCCTGTCAGTTGTTTCTTTGAGCCAAATTCCAACCAGAATGACTGGGCTACAGATCTGGTATATTTTTAAACCTCTTGGTATATATTGTTTCTGTCCAGAAGCTATTTCCAATGAACACTTTTTTTGCAGAAAACCATGAGGGTGATCACTTTCCCCTCACCACACCCAGTGGAACATTCCCCGTTTTATTGGCAGTGTTTAAGTTGATTCATGGATAAAAATATGTTAATTAAAATCATTTCATTATATTTATTTTGTGTCTGGGAAGGGGAGGGGTGACTATGCCACCATGCACATACACTTGGGAGTCATAGCTTACTTGCAGGAGTGGGTCCCCTCACCTGCCATGTGGGTCCTGGAGATTGAACTCTGGTTGTCAGGCTTGGTGGTGAGTCCCTTTACCCACGGAGCTATCTCACCAGCCCCCAGGTGCACTTTCAAGTTTTCATTTTGAAACTCATCACTCTAAATATTTTCCTTATAGATATAGGTAATTTCTATACTCTTTGTTTGTTTTTTTTGTTTGTTTGTTTTTCAAAACAGGATTTCTCTGTGTAGCCCTGGCTCTAAATATTTTCCTTATAGATATAGGTAATTTCTATACTCTTTGTTTGTTTGTTTTTTTGTTTTTCAAAACAGGATTTCTCTGTGTAGCCCTGGCTATCCTGGAACTCTCTCTGTAGACTAAAAGGGCTTCTTCACTATGGAGCCCAAGTGGACCCAAAATTCATTATGCAACCCAGGTTGACCTCAAACTTGGGCAATCCTTTGAATCTTCTGCCTTAGTCTCCTGAGTGCCAGGAGTTTTGTACTTTTTAAAAGAAAACATATGGGGTCTGGAGAGATGGCTTAGTGGTTAAGAGCACTTGTTGCTTTTCCAGAGGACCCAGGTTCAATTCCCAGCACCCAAATGGCAGTTTATAACTGTCTGTAACTCTTGTTACAGGGGATCAGACACCCTCACACAGACATACATGTGGGCAAAACACCGATGTACATAAAATACAGATAAATTAAAATAAAATGCCTGTAATCAGCCTATTTTCTAGGTGTGTGTATGTGTGCATGCGCTCTTTAGCATGTGGGGATTGCCAAATGGTATGGAGTCCTTTTCTCTACTTCCCTCTACCTTCTTTTCATAGCCAAAGTCTCTTACTGAACTTGGATCTCACTTTTTCATCTGGACTGGCTAACTAGCAATGCCCAATTCCCATGTGCCTCTCTGCCCACCCCATGCTGGGATTACGGAACTCACCACCATGCCTGGCTCTTTTTTATGTGTACTGGGAATCAAACTCAGATCCTCATGTCTGCACAGCTAGCAATTTACTCTCTGAACCATCTGCCTGGCCTCCTCACCCTGACTCTTTAGTAATTAGTCTGTGACAAAAGTTTTGCCCAGTTTGTGAAAATACTGGACTAAAACAACTTAATTTTTATTGTGAACACTACCTTCAAACATTTACAGTAATAGGATAGTATATATAATATCCCACTGTCACCATCAACTCATTATCCAGACTCAACAATTATCTGCTCACAGATAATCAGTCTTGTTTCACACCCATTATCTTCTCCTATGGCTTCTTTTTGGCAGTTCATCTTCAACATCCCATCATTTCATTGCAAATATTTCAGTATGTGACAATTGAAAAAGTATGCCGTCAAATCATCCACTTTCCCACTTTTTTCTTTGTGCTTTCTGCCTCCACTATTACTCTCAAGAGAATATCAAGGGCTGGTGACACGGTATAGCAGCTAAGAGCCCACACCGCTCTTGTAGAGGACCTGAATTTAGTTGCCAGCATCCATGTCAACAGCTTCTCCTGTCAAGTGGCTCACAATCATTTGTAACTCCAATGCCAGGATATTTAGCACTTCTGGCCTTTAAAGGGTATCCTGACTCATGTGCACAAATGGTCCGCATACGAATAGTTTTTTTTTTTTTAATGACTTAAGAATAGTTTATTGCTGTGGGTGTGGTCACACATAACTTTAATCCTAGCATTCAATAGTCAGGGGCAGGTGGATCTCTGTGAATTCAAGGTCAACACAGTAAGTTCTAGGACAGTTAGGGCTATGTAGGAAGACCCTGTCTCAAAAAACAAACAAACAAGTAGTTTATTATAAAAGAAGTCCAACCAAAACAACTAATAGTTGACATTATAAGTAATGCTTGTCTAGAACCCATGTCTCTCTTTTTCTGGGTAAAGGATGGAGAGCAGAGGTGTCCTCTGATTCTACAAGTTACCTGAGGGAGCCAGGGTGTTCATACCTAGTGGATTCCAGACACTGGTGCCTGAGCATAAACAGGGCACTCAAGTAGTGTTGGGGGTGGGGGAAGGGCAGATGAGAATTTTTAATCGAAGCAAAGGAGACTAGGGTAACTGCACGGGCCCTAGTCCAGAAGAGTGGGCAAACAAAGGATGATGGTCACAGTTGCCAGAAGGGTTGGACAGACCACCAGGGCAAGGAATTTCCCTCTTCTTTGGGTGGAAGAAAGAGGGGGAGAGATTGTCCTCTGGGTCCACAAATTCACTGATGCTAAGAGGCTGCTACTCTTCCCTGGAGCTGGTTACACTGCCTTCTGGGAAGGCTCTGGCTGTGATGTGGAGTGGGCCCAGGGGACTTCCCCCTTAGAAGGATGAAGACTTGCTAGGAGATTGCAACTTACAGTTGGCTTGATCAACCTTTCTTCAGGGCCAATGCTCCTACATGAATGCATCTCCATAGACATAATTAAAAAGTATCTACCTTTTTTGTCAGTTGACTTTGGTTTCATAAGTAAAACTACTTTAGTCAGGATTGATGATGCAATTGCTAAAAGGCTTGAGGCTCAAGCATGAGAACCTGCCTTTGGATTCCCAGCACTCACATAAGAGCTGAACTCACCAACCAGTCAGTGTAGTCAACCAATAAGCCACAGACTCAGCAAGAAACCCTGTCTAGATACTTGCAAGGGATTTCCTTCCCACAATCCCTTGTACTTATTCTTTCAACTTGTGCCCACCAGGGTGGTTCCCGAAAAGAAGAGTACTAAGAAGATGGGCTGTTCTGCCACCAATGAGGTGGTGACCCCAGAATACACCATCAACATTCACAAAGCACATCCATGGAGTGGGCTTCAAGAAGTGTTCCTTGGGCGCTCAAAGAAATCCAGAAATTTGCCATGAAGGAGATGGGGACTCCAGATGTGCATATTGATACCAGGTTCAATAAAGCTGTCTGGGCTGAAGAAATAAGGAACTTTTCGTACCATATCTGTGTACATTTGTCTAGAAAACCTAGTGAGGATGAGGACTCACCAAACAAGATCTACACATTGTTAACTTATGTGCCTGTCACTACATTAAAAAAATCTACAGAAAGTCAATGTGGATGATGGAGGACCCAGGGCACCAGGTAGTAAGCCTGAAATTTGAGTTTACCCTATGGCAATACGTGACTGCAGGAAAGACCACAAACTGGGACCATCCAGGAAAGTACCTAAGGTTCCAACCATCACAAGATGTCCCTTAGGCTAGCACACACCCTCTTTCACCAAGACACCCCTACATAAATGTTAGCCAATCAGGGATCCTGAACCTTAGAAATCCCCCACCTCTGCTATGATAAAAACCCCACCCCAACTGAGCCTGAGGCGCTCGTATCATGTCAATGTGTTGGACACATGGAGAGTCCAAGTTTTAACTTGAATAAAGACTCTCTGCTTTTACATATGCTATCCAGTCTCCTTGTTGGATATTGGGGGAATTCATGGTTTGGGCATAAGAGATGGGAACTAAGTTGATGAATGTCAAATAAAGTTGGAGAACTGGAGAAAACAAAACAAAACAAAACAAAAAACAATTAAAAAAAAAAAAACCCTGTCTCAATAACTTAAGATGGAGAGTAACAGAGGAAGACACCTGGACATTGACCTCTGGTCTCCCTATGTACATACATCTAAACTTGCAAGTACAAGAGCTCATGAATACACACACACACACACACACACACACACACACAGAGAGAGAGAGAGAGAGAGAGAGAGAAGAGCTTTGAACTTTGGATCCATTAAGACTGAAATTTTTCAAATCTGTAACTAGCTGAGTAAGCTCCTATGTCTTCACAGGTTTAAAACACCAACTTCCTCCTGTGAGAAATGCTTTTCCACTGCTAGAGCAATATGTCTTTTCTCTCTGGTCTTATGCTAGGTTTTTTGTCTTGTTGTTTAAGTATACATTTAATATTTATTATTGTAAGTTCCCTGGAACAACACTATTCATCAGTCATTTATACAACTATTTTAATGCACTATTTTTCAAAATTCTGGGTGGAGGGAAGACTTGAAATTGATGTTGTGATATTCATTCCATGGTGAAGTCACATTTGCAAGCTCAGCAGACACAGGTTATCCATCCCTGTTTTCTGTGGTAAGTTGCTACTAAGTAAAAATGCACTAATTACTTAATCCAATCCAATTC